CTGGAAGTCTTAGCCTTAGCAATCAGACAACAAAGAAGTAAAAGGCATCCAGATTGGCAAGGAAGTCAAAATTGCACTACTCACAGACAACTCGATACCATATGTAGAAAACCCAAAAGACTCCACCAAAAATATTTGCTAGAACTGATACATGAATTCAATAAAATCATAGGATACAAAATGAATGTACAGAAATCTGTTGCATTTCTATACACCAATAATGAAACAGCAGAAAGAGAAATCAAGGAATCAATCCTATTTACAATTACATCAAAAACCATAAGATATCCAGGAATAAATTTAATCGAAGAGGTAAAAGATCTGTGTTTTGAAAACTATAGAACACTTATGAAAGAAATTGAAGAGGAAACAAAGAAATGGAAAAACATTCTATGGTCAAGGATTAGAAGAATAAATATTATTAAAATTTCTAAACTTCCCAAAGCAATCTACACATTTAATGCAATCCATATCAAAATATCAATATCATTTTTCACAGAACTACAACAAGCAATCTTAAAATGTGTATGAAACCACAAAAGACCCCAAATAGCCAAAGCAATCTTGAAAAAGAAAACCAAAGCTGGAGGCATCATAGTTTCAGACTTCAAGGTACATTACAAAGCTATAGTGATAAAGACAGTATGGTACTGGCACAGAAATAGACACTTAGATCAATAAAACAGACTAGAAAACCCAGAAATGGACCGACAAGTATATGGTCAAATAATTTTCAACAAAGCTGGGAAGAATATCCAATAGAAAAGAGAAAGCCTCTTCAAAAAATGGCATGGGAAAACTGGACAGCAACATTCAGAAGAATGAAACTAGACCACTTTCTTTTGGCACACACAAAAATAAATTCAAAATGGATGACAGACCTAAATGTGAGACAGGAAACCATCAGAATTATAGAGGAGAACACAGGCAGTAATCTATTTGACATCAGCTATAGCAACTTCTTACTAGACACGTCTCCACAGGCAAGGGAAACAAAAGCAAAATGAACTATTGGGACTTCAAGATAAAAACTTCTGCACAGGGGCGCCTGGGTGGCTCAGTGTGTTAAGGCTCTGCCTTCGGCTCAGTTCATGATCTCAGGGTCCTGGGATCGAGCCCCACATCGGGCTCCCTGTTCGGCAGGGAGCCTGCATCCCCCTCTCTCTCTGCCTGCCTCTCTGCCTACTTGTGATCTCTGTCTCTGTCAAATAAATAAATAAAATCTTAAAACAAAAACAAAAACAAAAACAAAAACTTCTGCACTGCAAAAGAAACAATCAACAAAACTAAAAGGCAACCTTTGGAATGGAGAAAGATATTTCCAAATGACATCTGATAAAGTGTTAGTATCCAAAATTCATAAAGAACTTATCAAACTTAAAACAAAAACAAAACAAAACAAAACAAAACAAAATAACTCAGTTAAGAAATGGGCAGAAGATATGAATAGGTATTTTTCCAAAGACATATGAAAAGATGCTCAACATCACTCATCATCAGGGAAACATAAATCAAAACCACAATGAGATACCACTTCACACCAGTCAGAACGGCTAAAATTAACAAAACAGGAAACGTTTTTGGCAAGGTTTTTTGGTCGAGGATGAAGAGAAAGGGGAACCCTCTTACACTGTTGGTGGGAATGTAAACTAGTACAGCCACTCTGGAAAACAGTTTGGAGGTTCTTCAAAAGGTTGCTATGAATTAGCAATTGCACTACTAGGTATTTATCCAAAGGATACAAAAATAGTGATTCGAAGGGGTACATGTTTATAGCAGTGTTATCAGCAATAGCCAAACTGTGGAAAGAGACCAAATGTCCATCAACTGAAGAATGGCTAAAGAAGATGCAGTACACACACACACACACACACACAGAAATATTACTCAGCCATCAAATAGAATGAAATCTTGTCATTTGCAACAATGTGGATGGATCCAAAGTGTATTAAGCTAAGGGAAGTAAGTCAGCCAGAGAAAGAGAAATACCATATGACTTCACTCATATGTGGAATTTAAGAAACAAAACAGATAAACATATGGGGAGGAAAAAAGGGGGGGGCAAACCATAAAAGAAACTCTTAACTATAGAGAAAAAACTGGGGGTTGCTGGAGAGAAGTGGGCAGGGGAAATGGGCTAAATGGGTGATGGGTATAAAGGAGGGTATTTGTGAGCACTGGGTGTTGTGTGTTGGTAAAGAATCACTAAATTCTGTTCCCAAAACAAGTATTACAATTTATGTCAGATAACTAGAATTTAAATAAAAACTTCAAACATTGAAAAAAAGAAAAGAAGTGATTACTGACCAGAAGCCTTAAAGTTACACAAGCACCCTGTTTCTCCTTAAAATTTCATTCCTCAATTTCTATATTAAGTGGATTATTCTTATAGCAATTAATACTGGGGGGTTCTAAGAGTGATTTTTTTTATTCCCCTCACTCCTTCTACATTTATTATTTAGAATTTTTCTATAAGGAATTCTTGTTCATTCACACCATTTGCTTATTTATTAAATCATTAAATCAATACAGAATCAGGATTTAGGTTTTTGAGTTATAATACAATATGATCATTATCTTTTGCTCATATTTCATCCGTGGAGAACTCATTTAGGTTGGTGCTGTGTTCCTTTGGAATAATCATGATCCCATCCTTTCTTTTTTTTTTTAAGTTCTTTTTTTACTTTCTGTCACCAAACAATGCTCCAGGCTCATCGTGTTTTCTCCCTGTCCCAGTGCTAGACTTAGCCATTTCTCTACGGTGCCATGGTTCCTTTCACTGGAAAACAGTATTTAGAAACCAAGATGCAGGCACTAGATATGTTCACTGCTACTGGGATGTCATGGCTTCTAGACCCTCTTGACAAACAGAACTAGGAAATAACATTGCATATATACTAACCTATGTATACATACATATCTATAGTTACTTTTTGTGTATATATGTTAGAATAAACATGAATTCACATTATTATCTCAGACCCTAATCCAACACCACAGGGTTCTTTGTAGTCTTCAGTCCTTGCTTATTTTTAACTTCTTTCTCTGACGGGAAAACCTAGCTTAAATTAAACACAATTTATTTGTCCAAACCTAGTAAATGCATAAAGTATTGTTAGAAATGTTAACTTATACCATGTGATACACAAATTTACTAACCAGAATACAATCTTATATATAGTTTTCTTTTTCCTTAGCTTGACGGTATCCAATCAAACTGTGTTCCAGAGTTACTTAGGTCAGCTCTTCTTTTTTTTTTTCTTTTTCTTACATTTATTTCTTACATATATTATATTATGGCATTTGTAATATAGTTAAATTTACTTGTCACAATTTACTTTACACCCTGGGATCCCCTGGTATTCTAGTTGACTTTTCCTTTTAATTTGCATTCAGGAAAGTTGGTTCTTTGTGGTAAACAACATGGGTTTTGACAAATGTATGGAGTCATGTATCAACCTAACACAGCATCATAAAGAACAGTTCCATAACACAAAAAATTCCCTTGTGAGGCCCCTTGAAATAAATCCCTACCTTTGCTACTCCTGGCAAATAACTGATCTGTTTTCCATCCCCACAGTTCTGCCTGTTCCAGATCATTTTATAAATGAAATAATACTACAGGTAGCCTTTGGGCCTGGTTTCTTTCTCTAAGTAAAAAAAAATTTTAAATTCAATCATCTGGTACAAACCAATAGTTTTTTTTCATTTTTGCTTTTCATATACTTCAAAATTTATGTAGCAGGTTTCATTGCACTCTGTGCCACATTCCCACAATCCATCTGGTTTCAGGACAGCACACTGTTGGTGACTCACCTAATGAAAGTTCTGCAGTGTCCCTCTACTTTTTAACCTCAGAATTTTCACTAGTGCCGGGGCAAACTATTGATCAGACATGCTGACACAGCTCAGAAATACAATACCTCCAAAGATATCACTCAGCCAATGAGAATCCATAGATAAGTTCTCTACCCTCCCATTTCGTCAGTGGGTTAACTCTGAGAAGCACTCTACATGGTTCTTCTAGGTCCCTAGTGGGTGTGAGGCCACATTTCTAAGTACAGCAACCAGCTTAATATTTGTGGTTTTTCTCCCTTCACCAAAACTCTGTTTCCTCAATTGTGCCTCCCAGGTTCACCTCCTAAATAAACTCTTTCATCCAAGTCCTTGTGTCGGACTGTTACCTGTTCTAGAACACTTTCCCAGATATCCCTATGACTCACTCCCTCATCTACATGAATTGTTTATTGCTATTTCTCAGTGAGCTCTTATCTCACTACCCTTTTTAAACTGCAGGCCATATCCCCCTTCCTTACTTCATTTATTTAACAGCAACTTAACAGCATGTAACTTCATATGTGCATAATTAATTTTGTTAATTTCAGTTAGAATACAGGTTTCATGAGTGCAGTGATTTTACTCTCATTTGTTAATTGTTGTGTCTCTAGCACTTCAAACACTCTGGCACATAGTAGGCACTCAATAAAAATATACTGAGTAAGTTAATTTTTCTAGGAGACTGGCTTTATTCAGTGTAAGAACAGACTTCCTATAAAAAAAAAACCTGAAAACTAATGACTTTCAAAATTGAATGGTATTCAAAATGAGGCCTGTTGATTCCATCACAAATATCATTTAAAACATTCCCACACTTAGCATGAAGTTTGACTGGATCTTCTGAATTGCCTTGAATTTTAAGTCATTATTATACTGTGCACAAAAAAGACGATAGTACAAGGTAGAAAATTGGCATGAACCCATTATTTTTCCTCTTAGCAATTCATATGAAGCCAAAGATAACAACTGTATACCATGCAGCTGGTAAGCCTATTTAATGATTCCAAACAGAATGCCATCTGCACAATAGAGATGAATATAGGGAAGAATATTTTTTCATCTGTGAAATTTGAGTCTCATTGTTTTCCTGAATATTTATTATAAGAAAGAATAACTCATTCTTGGTTTCCAAACTGAAATTAATTTCATCACATTTTTATTACCTGGACACTGGATAAACGACCACTCATAGTTTTTTTCTTTAGGACAAAGACTGGTGTCAAGAATCATCTCATTATTGTGCATCCCAACAAGCTTCATTGGTCCCCGTGAAGATCCTTCAATGCAGTGTCCTCTTCCTGTATTACTAGGATCATTGCACCAGCCACACCCAGGCTGCTCCAAACAATGCCCACAGGTTCTCAATCCAGAACAATTTTGAGCTGCATGACAGGAACATTAACAAAATATGTTATATGACTTTATATTCAAATGGAATTATAAGGTAATGGAAAAATAAATACAGTCTAAAAAAAGACTGGAAAAATGTCTATAGTTGATGTAAACATTTTTTTGTAATAATATCTAAGAGACAGCAATTACTTAAACCAAATAAAATATACATCATGAGCAAAGAGGAGATAAATGGACTGACTTAAAGGTGAAAAGAGGTGTAGTAACTATGACATAGAGAAAAATGAAGTCAGCACTTAAAGGTTGCTGAGAGTTTTTTTACCTGTTTTTAGGACCTTTTGGAAGCTGCTCCAGGGGCCTACAGATCACATTTACCCTTGTCCATGTGTACAGCCATGTTAGCTGGTCTTGGGCCTAGTGAGAGCCTCCAAAGAAAAACTCTGCACCTGCCTTGGATATCCAGGGTAACTGTTGCCTGCCCATCCTGAGAGAGCTAAGCCCCATGTGTACTGCACGATGATTTGAAGTAGATTTTTACTAGGCCTCCCCCAGATTAAATCTAGTTTTATATTTACAAGTCTATGAATATCTCCTAGGAAAGTAAATTTTATTTTAGGACTATCTTTTTAAGGAAATATAATTTTTAAAAAAAAGTCTTGAACAAGCATTACATGCAAAGTAAATCTAAACTATTCTCAAGTATGGAATTCCTACTAATACTTTCCAAACAACTAGGGAGATGTTAGATGAAAGAATGCTGGGTTTCTTGCGCTGCTGAATGACAAACTGTTAATCTTCTAGTTCTATTTACCTATTTGGTTTTAGGCTTTAATAACAAGTTACAAAATGTCATGTTCAGAGCAACATTTTATTCTCAGATTTTATTTTACATATGAAACTATTACATAAGGTAATGTTGGTTTCCCTTTTGCTCAAGAGTAAAAAGCAACAGGCACTGCTGAAAGATTAACAGAAATTTCATTCTTTAGTATTTAATATTGATTCAAAACCTGACAGATTCTAACGTTTTTAGGACAATAATACAGGGAAGCTTTGGTAGCCTATGCTATTTTTCCTAAGTTATGAATAGCAGAGAGACTATGTATAAACTATAAGTAATTAGAGCAATCATTTTTATTTTATTTATTTTTGGCTTTTTGAAAAATTAAGTTGTTAAACATCCAATACGGTTTTTTGAAATGTGTAAGAAGTTGAGGAATCAATCTGTAAGAAATTCTGTCATCAGATGATTACTGGAGACTTCTGGTTTCTAATCCAGCATGTTAGGCATTCAGAAGTTACCACTCCACCCTAACAAAAAGTAAGAAGCAGCACAAAATGAAAAGTCAACAACTCTTCTTAGATCTGTCAGAGAAGTGAGGTCACAGAGCAAATCATTGCCTGTAAGACTGGAGAGACAGACAGGAGTATGCAGAGAATCGTAGTATACCACATTTGAAACCTCTGCAGGAGCCAGTATGTGGGGAAGAAACCCTGATCCGAGGGCCTCCTATAGCTGATCGATTGCTGGAAGCTCAGTGAGTACAACTCTGAAAGTTAAAATTCCCAGAAGGACCCAGTCACAGGGGCACTCCCACACTTTTTTTTTTTCCTTTAATCTCCAAGAGCTTTACAAAATCCTCACAGTGAACATCAAAGAAAAATCTTCTTGTGCTTCCAGCAGGGGAAGACAAAAAGGAAACATCTTGAAACATGTCAGAGCGTTCCATTCTTTTCAACAAGGCCTGGAAAAACTATTGAACAGAGCCCAAACTGCTGGGGTTTTATTGGAGCCCACCTGAGCTGTTGGGAAATACCCAACTCTAGCCTGCTCGGGCCTTCTGCGTGGGGGAAGAAAGGCACAAATCCAGCCAGCCATCCTGTGCAACCCGAGAGAGGGGAAAGAAACTGAGAAGCACTAGGGAAGTTCACAGCATGAAGCACAAGCCCATGGAAAGACTTAGTTACAGAAGGCTTCTGCTCCTTCCACACCCTACCACCACATTACTAAAAGCCCACTTACAGCAGTCTCTTTTACCTGTAAATCATATCTGGCTACCAAGAAAAAAATTACAAGGCATACCAAAAGGCAAAAAACACATTGTGAAAAGATAGAGCAAGCATCAGACCAGACATTGCAGGAAAGTCAGAATTTTCAGACCAGAATTTAAAACAACCATGATTAATATGCTAAAAGTTCTAATGGTAACATGCGTGAACAGATGAGCATTGTAAGCAAAACTATAAAACTCCCAAAAGATAGCATAAAAGATCTAGATGATCTTGAGTTTGGTGATGGTGTTTTAGTTATGACACCAAAGGCACAATCCATGAAAGAAAAAAATTGATAAACTAAACTTCATTAAAATTTAAATTCAAAGTTTAAATTTCTGCTCTGTAAAGACACTGTCAAGAGAATGAAAATACAAGCCATACGCTGTAAAGAAATATTTCAAAGACACACCTGATAAAGAACTCTTATCTAAAATACATAAAACTCAATAATAAGAAAACAAGCAACTCAATTTTAAAAATGGGCAAAAGACCTACGCAGATACCTCACCAAAGAAGGTATACAGAAGCAAGTATGAAAAGATTCTCCACATCATATGTCACTAGAGAACTCCAAACTAAAAACAGTAATATACCCTTATTAAAATGGTCCAAATCCAAAGCACTGACAACACCAAATGCTGGTGAGTATGTAGAATGCAAAGTAACAAAACATTCATTGCTGGTGGAATGCAGAATACAGCCACTCTGAAAGACAGTTTAGTGGTTTCTTACAAAATTAAACATACTTTTACCATACATTCTAGCAAAAACACTCCATGATATTTATACAAATGAACTGAAAATTTATGTCCATACAGAGACCTGGGGCGCCTGGGTGGCTCAGTTAGTTAAGCAACTGCCTTCGGCTCAGGTTATGATCCTGGAGTCCCTGGATCTAGTCCCGCATTGAGCTCCCTGCTTGGCAGGGAGTCTGCTTCTCCCTCTGACCCTCCCCCTTCACATACTCTCTCTCCCTCTCATTTTCTCTCTCTCTCAAATAAATAAAAATCTTTAAAAAAAAAAAAGAAAGAAAATAAGAAACCTGCACATAGATGTTTACTGCAGCTTTATTCATAATTGTCAAAACTTGCCAAAAGCAACAAGACTTTAATAGCTGAACAGATAAATTGTGGTAAAAGACAATGGAATATTATTCAGCTCTAAAAATAAATTAAGCTACCAAGCCAGAAAAGACATGGAGAGACTTAAATGCACATTACTTAGTGAAAGAAACCAATCTGAGAAGCTACATACAAATGATATGACGTTCTGGAAAAGACAAAACTATGCAGACAGTAAAAATATTAGTGATTTCCAGGAGTTAGGAGAGAAAGAGAGACGAACAGGTGGAGCTCAGAGGATTTTGGATGACAGACTTTGGGCAATAATGATGTGTCAGTGTAGGTTCATCAGCTGTAGCAAATGAACCATTCTGGTGTGGGATGTTGACCGTGGGGGAAGTTGTGCATGTGTGGGGGCAAAGGACATAAAGGAATTCTCTGCACCTTCCTCTCAAAATTGCCACGAACCTAAAACTACTCTAAAAAATAAATTTTAATCAATTTTTAAAAGACTACCTTCCCTAACTGCCGAGGAAAAAAATGTTTAAATTGAGCATGTACATAAACTTGTAAAATACCAAAAGAAATACAGATTTGTGAGAGTGTACTATATTCGCATGTTTCCTATTTTTCCATTTTCACTGTATCAATTTAATTACATTTTTATTTGAACTTTTACATATTAAGAACTAAACCTATTACTGCATTAAATTATCCTTTTGAAGATCATTTTCAGAAAGAGAATAACCAATATTTTAAATAAAATATTTCAATTATTAATAATTGCAGTTATTAACAAAGCTTTCTCAGAAAACATTAGGCAAAACTTGTCTTAAGATATACTTCTTTTCTTCAATTTGTAAATATTAAGTACTAATATCACAATAGCACAACGAAAAAAACCACTGGCAAATATTATAAAATCCATATTTGTTTCTCATTAGCAAAGAAAAATTTCCTTCAAGTTCCATTTACTAGGAAACCTCAAATGATCCCTGAAACTTTCTAAAAGCAACATAAAATGTATACCATTTCTAACAGTTTTATTTATAACTCTAAGAATGTTTTTAAAGACTTACTTACTACTGTTAAATGCTTAGTGAACGACCAGACACGTGTAGTAGAAATGATCATGTAAATCCATTGCGTATAATTAATGTTAACAAGATAACAAGATATAAAGTTAAAAGCAAAAGTATGATAAACACATTGCCCAAAAGCTGATGTCTTTGAAACAATAATATTCAGCTACTTTTTGCACTCGGATTTTTTTTTTTTTTTAAGATTTTATTTATTTGACAGAGAGAGACAGCATGAGAGGGAACACAAGCAGGGGTAGTGGGAGAGGGACAAGCAGGCTTCCCGCCGAGCAGGGAGCCCGATGGGGGCTTGATCCCAGGACTTTGGGATCACGACCCTGGCCGAAGGCTGACGCCCAACACCTAAGCCACCCAGGCACCCCTGCACTCGGATTTTGATAAAGGATGCCACCTTTGTTCCTAGTCCTTATTTTATTTCCTGGCATTTCCTTATTGCTCATTAAAAGCCTTTTGGTTAAAAGCAGGGAAGAATGACGTAATAGAGAAGGAGTTTATTTCTCACAAGGAGTAGATCACCACCAGGTTTATTTGTATTTACTTCCAGAAAATACAAGATCGCCTTGAAGAGAAGTTCAGTAGCCCTCTTCCCTACAAGGATGGAAAGGGAAGGGCATATAATTTAAAAGGATGTAGAACAAAAATAATTGGACATCATCAGCACAAATGAACTGTAGATAGCCACCAAAAAGGTAAATATGACAACACAAACAGTGAAAGAAAAGACTTACAGAAAAGAAAAATGCAGCAGACTAACTGCCCAAGAAAAAATGGTTGAAGTAGAACACAAAACTCTCAAGAAATCAAAATCAAGAAAACAAAAAAAGAAGAGAGTCAAAAACAGAAGACATTAAGGCAGAACTTAACAACTGATGTACACACCTCTAGTGGACAGCCCTCCCAGCAGTATGTGTCATAATTTAGTTCATCATTGATGAAGATACACTTCATACTGGTGTTTAATCATGTTTCATATACCTTCTCAAAAAATTCAGTTAGACTTTTTATGGTGGAAATACAAGGTTCTCAAAAATATTGTTTTAAAACAGATAAAAATCCCCAAATAAACAACCATAAAGAAGAAAAAACATCTGAATTGAAACTAAGAGATGGAAATTTCAAGTGAATTCAAGACATATTGAAAATTTTTAAGGAGGGCACAGATTGCATGGAGCAATTGGGTGTTATATGCAAACAATGAATCATGGAACACTACATCAAAAATTAATGCTGTACTACATGGTGACTAAAATAATAACAATAATAATAATAATAATAATAAAAAGAAATTCCAACCACTATTTTAAGATTTCTATGGAAGAATAAATAGAAGATTTCTAAAAAAGAATAAATAGAAGAAAACAATGTAAGTATTAAAGACCATTTTTAGCGGTAAAGAAAGACACTGCTCTTCAGATTCAAAAAGCAAATGAAAATCCATTTTTAAAATCTAACTCAATTACTGGAAATTGAAATGAATTACAGAATTTGGAATCCCAAGAATTAAGAGAAAAAAAATTACAATCTTTTATTTCTTGAAGAATTTTTTTAAAAAGATGCCCCACAAAGGAATGAAAATCGAATTCACAGGAAAATTCTCACTCACAACACCAAACACTACAAGGTCTAAGGAAAGAATAACCTAGAACTCCCACATCCAGCCACTTAATCATTCAAGTGAACATAAAAAAATACACTTTAGACATACAAAAACTCGAAAAGATTACTATCCATGAATTTATTTGAATGAATGACTGAAGACTATTCTCCAAAAGGTTAATAAATGAGACGGAAAATATGGAATACAAGAAAGATTTGCGATTAGTGAAGACGACTTAGATTTAACTCTAAACAATTTTTAGGAAGTTCTTAAGCATGTAAGACCTCGGAAAGTTTACAAGCTCCTTTTTCGCTACCCTTTACCCTTTTATTCTATAACACACACAGAGAAGTCCATAGAGAAATGTGAGATTAATAAATTACTGTACAGAAATGCTCTGTGCCCGCACTCAGCCTGGCGGTGGAACACTGCCTCCCTTGCACCCCTGTCCTAGCCAGCACCCCAGTCTTCTCCCAGCAGCATCCACTATCTGTCATTTACATTAATTTTTTGCCTTACTCTATGGTTTTACCACCTAAATATTCATTCCTAAACAAGAGAACTTAGTTTTGCCTATTTTTGAACTTTATCTAAATGGAGCCATACTGTATATAATCTTTTGAACTTTATCTAAATGGAGCCATACTGTATATAATCTTTTGTGTCTGATTTCTTTCATCAAACATTAATGTTTGTGGAAAGACAAACATGATTACGAAGGCAAGAGAGCCTGGGTACTATCAGCTCCCCCTAAGACTGCATCACTGGATGCAGCTCCCCTGGGCAGCTGACTCCTAGTAAGAGGTTTTCCGTGGGAGTAAGACCCTTTTATGCCTGCAACAACCCCAGTGCCATGCTCTGAATGAGGCCCGTCCTCATTCCCTATTTAAAAAAGGGAGATGGAGAGGAGAAAGGAGATGAGGGAAATTGGAAGGGGAGATGAACCATGGGAGACTATGGACTCTGAAAAACAATCTGAGGGTTTTGAAGGGGCGGGGGGTGGGAGGTTGGGGGAGCCAGGTAGTGGGTATTATGGAGGGCACGTATGGCATGGAGCACTGGGTATGGTGCATAAACAACAAATTCTGTTACACTGAAAAGAAATTAATTTAAAAAAATAAATAAATAAAGTTCCTAAAAAAGGATTGCAACGAGGAGCTCAACACCTAATATACCTAGCCATGTCCACGCCAGGAACACCTCTCCACGTGATGCCAAGAACCTGGGGAAACAAATATACCCAAGAGCCACAGCCTAGAAATTCTGGCCTACATTGTGGCACTTATTGTTCTATCTCAGCCCTTCATGCACCAGTGGTGCCTATATGGAACAAATACAGGTTTCGCTGGTTGGTAGACTATGGGGGTATCTTTGGGAATGATGTAAGCTCTGGAAAGGCCAGTGAGTCTCCATCTGCACTGTCTTAAGCAGCTGGTTACCTCAAAATGACCAGGTCACTCATCTGAGCAAGAAGAGCTTATAACTGGGTGGCCATGTTGTCTGTGGGCTACCAGATCCTGGGGGCAAGCCTCAAAATAGTAGATTCACCACCAAAGGGTATCTCAGACTTAGGAAGCTCCTCTTAAAAGAAGCAGCTCTTCCTTCCTCTTACAGGATAAGCAAGAGAGCTCAGGGAAGGACGGAAGGACAAATGCATGGTCGGACAATGCATGCTGCTGCGAGGATATTTACCCATACATCGTCACGGTTACATCAGCAGCAGCTGCTCCTATGGAAGGAATGTAAGGAAGCCAACGGGCTGATAAGAAAGTCCAGACGAAACTTTAAAAAGTTGCAGGAACAAGCTGTGTCATGGCCCAAACTCCTCGGAAACCTACAAGTGCCTGCTTGGAGGAGGGAAAGAACAGAGGGAAGCCAGTGGACTAATGCAAAGACCTGAGCTGGACCTACCAGAGCTGCACAGATCGGGTGAGAGAAGGCATAACAGTGTGTAACAACTATCAGAGCAATTGTTAGGAGGAAAAAACTAGACATGGGATGACAAGATCCCCTGAGGAGTATTCCCTTAGAAAGATTAAAGCTGTCCCTTCCCTATCCCATTGAACACTTCAACTACAATATCTTCCTGAGTTTAACCCATATGGGGCTTCAAGTAGCTGCTATTTTGTCTCCCTCCACTCCACTGAACTGCAGTTCCTTTGGGACCTGGCACCCATTAAGTGGATTCATTCATTGCAAACCCAGCTTATTACAAGTAAAAGTACTGGGAAGAAAACTAAAATAAAACAAACCTAAAGACTCCTGGTCCTTCCACCCTAGTGAGTTTCCTAGACATTCAGGCATTGGGAAGTGGGGAACTGACGAGGAACAAAATATTCTTCTCATTCATCTGTGTCTGTTTGAATTTAGCAAGTGAATAGATGTTTTGCTTTGTTGAAATTAAGGATTTCTGGTCGAATATACATGAACTCCAACTTTATCTAAGGTGATTCCAGAGCTAACTGTGGTTGTGGAATGGTGACCCTGGGCACTGGCAGAGTATGTTCTCCAAAAAGGACACAAAGTCTACATCAGTCACAAAAAGGACAGACCCCAATTAGTGTGGCATGAATGAATCAATTCAACATTGAAAAGCAGGTGAGGGAGCACTGGAAATAAGTAATCGTTCCTACCTTCTTATTATAAATCTGAACAGACCAATTACTTCATGTCCCTTTTGGAAAGGTATTTTTTGATAAGCCCCAGTGTCAGAGGGCAGATTGTAGAAAGATAAACCATATTTCCTGCTCACACAAAGCTCGCTGAGACCAGCAGCTTCTACATTTTCCCAAAGGAAAAAAAAAAAGCTGCATGTGGTTTCAAATTCCTACAAGGACCCCAGGTGCTCTCAGTAGTGCTATGCAATTCCCTTGGCAATGGCATCGTGATGGAATCTGCCTTTACAAGAAAGGCCACTCTGTAACCACACAGTGGTATGATGCACACACTCAGTCAAGTCCTTACAAAATGTGAGCAAGGGGTGACATCTTGTCCTGAAGTACAACCAACAGCAAGTGCGGTACCGACCTGCTGCCGTGACTCCCCATGTGATTCCAAGACTGCATCCTGCCTTCGTGGTAGATGCACCACCACTGACAGGATTGATACTCTTGCCAACAAATGCTTAACTTGAATCCAATCATGAGGAAAGAATTAGGTAAATCCAAATTGGGACAGTTAAAAAACAAATGGTGTCGATTCTTCAAAAATATCAGTTGTGTAAGACATGGGAACTCTGCTAGATTAGAGGACAACTAAAGGAGCACGACAAAGTGGTATGCGATCTTTGCAACAATAAGCATTTTCGTGAAGTGTTAAACTCTCTGCAATGTACACTCAGAGTTGGGGAGAGCACAAAGGTGGCAAAATGTGTGTGTGTGCCTATGTAGGATAAAATAATTAGTAGAATTCAAAATGATGGTATAGTATAATTCTGGGGCTTATACCATTAATAGGTTTTAAAGCAACAGTTTTTTGCTACAACAAAAGCAAACGCTTTTTCCCAACTTTTAAAAACTTCTTCAGATGTTTAATTCCTCCTTCCATCACAAAAAATTGATTTGCGTTGCCTTTACATGAAAAGTCACTCTAGATAAATACTTACGAGAGCAGGTGGCCGTTTGCCACTCCAGACACTGTCCGTATGGAAAAGAGATTATGTAGGCATTGGAGTCAACGCAGCGCCTCGTGCTACTGCACCACATACACTCCATGCCGTTGCTGGTGCAGTTGGAGCAGGATGTCCGTAGAGAGCACGGCTTTTTGCATGGCCTTGCATTTTGATTCGGACTGACTGGAATAAATCCACAGATACAATTATTTTATTTGTTAACTATATTTTAGCACAGATATATGGGTTTCATTTATTTTGAGGTTTGGGGAATGTTTCAAGTAAGCCAAGTGTGGAATAAAAATTATAGCAAAAACTACATGATACAATAAATGAAAATGAAGATGAGGTGTTAATACTTAAATTTATTATCAAATTTGAAAATCATACTTCTTTTGAAAAGTTTAATCATTTACAAAGTACATAAGGTTACATAATTTAAAAACTTATAAATAGAGATGTAGCCCATAACCTAGTTTTCTGTCTTAGGCTAAATATTACACACACTTTCATTATTTACTTTCCCACTAAAATTTTTTCCATAAACATTCCATACCTTATCAAAACAAATGCCTATCAGTGAACATGTATCTGATAAACAAACAATAAAAATAAAACAATACACTATAAAATCTTTACATGAAATAGAATATCATAACCTTTAGGTAAATATTTTTTTTAATGCTGGCAAGGAAGTGAAGAAATTGGAATGCTTGTTCGTTGCTGGTAAGGATGTAAAATGGTACAACTTCTATGGCAAACAGTATGGCAATTCCTCAAAACATGAACATAGAATTGCCATATGATACAGCAATTCCACTTCTGCCTATATGCCCAAAAGATACAAACCAGAACTGGAAAAGATATCTGTAAACCCATGTTCATAGCATCATTATTCACAACAGCCAATAAGTAAAAGCAACTCAGGTGTACATTGATGGATGAATGGATAAACAAAATGTTGGATGTACATACAATGGATAATTATTCATGTTAAAAATGGAAGGATATTCTAACATATGTTACAATATGAATGAACCCTGAAGACATTATGTTAAGGGAAATAAGCCAGGCATAAAAGTTCATGCACTTTATGATTCCATCTATATGAGGTAAATAAATTAGTCAAACTCATAGACACAGAAAGTAGAAGGTGCTTGTCAGGGGCTGGGGGAGGGAGGTATGGAGAGTTATTGTTTAATGAGTATAGAGTTTGGGAAAATGAGGAAGTTCTGGAGATACATGCTGTTGATTAATGCACAATAATGTCGATGCATGCAATAACACTGAACTCTGCATTTAAAAATGGTTAAAATGGTAAATTTTATATTATGTATATTTTTTTAAAGTTTTTAAAAAGAGGAAATAATTCAATATTCCTTTATCACTTAACGAAAATCCATTCCAAGACACACATATGATTTTACTCATATGTGGAATTTAGGAAACAAAACAAATGAGCTAAGGGAAAAAAGAGAGACAAATGAAAAAACAGATGTTCAACTATAGAGAACAAAGTGATGTTGACAAGGGAGGAGGGTGGTGGTGGTGGGGGGAGGTGGGAGGTTGAAATGGATGATAGGGAGTAAGGAGGGCACTTGTCATGATGAGCACCAGCTGTATATGGAAGTGTTGAGTAACTATCCTGCACACCAGAAACTAATATTACACTATATGTTAACTAACTGGAATTAAAATAAAAACTTAAAAAAACAATGTCTATGTCTAATATTTTATACTGGCTAATAAAACCAAATAAAAAATTACAACACAATTAGTACTGGTTTGGGGTTTGAATGTCATGGCCAATATAAAAAATAATAAAAGTCAATCACCACAAAATGACATATTAGGAAAAAAAAAAGAACAGAAATGTTTCTTCTTACTTGCCAAATGAAAGAGATCTACAAGATGAAAATTATTCAAAATTAGTTGTTAATCTTAAAAACAAATCTTCCTTCTAAACACTGTAATTATAAAAGTAAAAGTTGTTAACAAAATTAAGAATAGACTCAATCAAAAAATAAAGATTGCATAAAACCATAAAATTTTGGTATTTTCACAAGTTAACACTGAGGTCACTAATAGTAAGTGGGGAATGTAGTCAAAGATAAAATTTACTGAAATTATCAGGGAATCAACATCATAAAAAGATGGTGAAATTTACCTTAGGCACATAGACTATTGCAAGTGGAAAGGCGTGGTAATCATTGTAAAGAAATACTAGTTTGGGCGCCTGGGTGGCTCAGTGGGTTAAGCCGCTGCCTTCGGCTCAGGTCATGATCTCAGGGTCCTGGGATCGAGTCCCACATCGGGTTCTCTGCTCAACAGGGAGCCTGCTTCCCTCTCTCTCTCTCTCTGCCTGCCTCTCTGCCTACTTGTGATCTCTCTCTGTCAAATAAATAAATAAAATCTTAAAAAAAAAAAAAAAAGAAATACTAGTTTACTGCTTACCAACAGGTTTTTCACAGATGAGGCCATCTGCCATCGATGTACAAGGATTCGCTTTCAGGCCTGCCACCGCAGCCTTTTCCAGATATGCACAGAACCCAGAATCATTCGGTTCACCAGGAAGCCACTGCAGCGTCGTGTTTGTAAAAGGAGACATGTCTTCCCATCCCCAGTAGGATATATTGATCTTGCGCAAGCCTACCCACGGTGATACTTTCTGTAAACAATAGCAAAAGGAGTATTAAAGAAAGATATAAAAAGTCATATTCCTTAGCAAATACCTCATTATCATTAAAAATTACATTTAAGGGAAGCCTCAGTGGCTCAGTTGGTTAAGTAACTGCCTTCAGCTCAGGTCATGATCCTGGAGTCCCAGGATCAAGTCCCACATCGGGCTCCCTGCTCAGCAGGGAGTCTGCTTCTCCCGCTGACCTCTCTCCTCTCATGCTCTCTCCCTCTCATTCTCTCTCTCTCAAATAAATAAATAAAATCTTTAAAAAAAAAAAACAAAAAATAATTTTAAAAGTAAAAATTACATTTAAAAATATATAGAACTGCCTTTCTAATGACTTCCTGTACCAAGGATAATTAACAATTCCAGCATATTTTAGAGAAAGATGTAGAAAAGAACACTATTTTTCAAAAATAGATCTTGCACTCATGCTACATAATTGGTGCCAGTTGTTTAGCCCTTGTGAACCTCAGTTGCCTCTTCTACAAAATGAGGTTATAAATGTCTGATATAAATACCTACCTTACGAAACAAGATCACTAAAAAATTAACATATTGCTGCTGCTGCTCTGCTACTGCTCTACTTTAACAATTTAATCAGTTCTGGAGGTAAGAATCTACAGCTAAGTTGCCATTACACACGCTGTGAGAGAGCAGGAAACAAAATCAACAAACTGTATACAGAGGTGAGTGAAAACTTAACATGTTCACATAAGGACTAAGAAGAATAACTGCCTCTGTCTGAGTTCAGACTTCTACTGTTACGTCAGGACTTTCACTCAATTTTAGATAAAGTTATGTCATCTACTTTCATTATGAAAGAGATCAAGAAAATTGATCAAATCTGACTTCTTTGCCTAAAATTTAACAGATTGCCAAGTGCCACAAAACTAAATACTCCTAATGCTCTCATTAATATTTCAAAAGGGGCTTGAAAAGAAATTCATTCTGTATACACAGATTTATTTTAATCATGAATCAATTTTAAAATGTGTTTATTAAAATATAATTTTAAAATGATATATTTTTGCTACTCTATAAAATGTATTAGATTATAAACAACTCTATTTTCTTGGTTCTGAATTATGTGGGGTTTCATAAATTTTTTTATTTTTGTCTAACTTTATGGGATATAATTGAAAAATTAAAAAATATATATCTAAAACACATACAATTTGATGTTTTGGTACATGCAGTCAACATGAAATGATTACCACAATCAAGCTAATTAACATTCCCATCACCTCATAGATGATCTGCAGATGATCATAGAGTTACCTTTATATATGTGGTGAGAACATTTAACACCTAGTATCTTCAATTCCAAGTATACAATACAGTATTATTAACTAGTAACCATGTTGTACATTAGATGTCCAGAGCTTATTTATCCTGTATAACTGAAACTTCGTACCTTTTGACCTATATCTCTACATTTCCCTCATACCCTACCCCTGGCAACCACCATTCTACTAACTGCTTTTATGAGTTTGACTTTTTTAGATTTCACATATAAATACAATCAGGCAGTATTTGTCCTTCTGTATCTAGCTTATTTCACCTAGTGTAATGTCCTCAAGGTTTATACATGTTGTAGCAAATGGCATGATGTCTTGCTTTTGTAAGGCTATATGCCATTATCTCTCTCACATACCACACACACACACACACACACACACACACACAATATCACATATCACATTTCATTTTCTTTATCCATTTACCCATCAATGAACAGATGCTGTTTCCATACCTTGGCTATTGTGAATAATGCTGCAATGAACATGGGAATGCAGATGCCTCACTGATATCCTGTTTACATTCCCTTTGAATATATACCCAGACATGGGATTGCTGGATCACATGGTAGTTCCATTTTTAATTTTTTGAGGAACCTCCATACTGTCTTCCAAATTGACTTTACCAATTTGCGTTCCCACCAACAGCGTACAAGGGTTCCTTTTTCTCCACATCTTTGCCAACTTATTATCTCATTTTTTGTTAACAGCCATTCTAACAGGGTCACTTTGATTTTGAATTGTCTTTCCCGGATGATTAGTGATAGCCAGCTTTTATCATATAACTGCTGGCGATCTGTATATTCTGTTTAGAAAAATGGCTATTCGTATCCTTTGTCCCATTTCTTCACTGAGTTCTTTTTCTTTGCTATTGAGTTATTTGCCTTCTTATATATTGTGGACTTTAACACCTTATCAGATGTATGGTTTACAAACATTTTCTCCCACTCCACAGATTGTCTCTTTCCTGTGCTGACTGCTTCCTTTGCTGTGAAGACACTGATTAGTTTGATGCAATGCCATTTGTCTATTTTTGCTCATTGCCTATACTCTTGGGGTCATTTCTAAAAAATCATTGCCCTGACTCATGTCAAGAAGCCTATTCTCCAAGTTTTGTTCTAGAATTTTTACAGTTTCAGGGCTTCCATTTGTGTCTTTAATCCATTTTCAGATTTTTGTATATGGTGTGAGATAAGGGTCCACATTCATTCTTCTGCACGAGGATATCCAGTTTTTCCCAGCATCGTTTATTGAATTGTCCTTTCCCCATTGTATGTTCTTGGTACTTCTGTTGAAGATCAGTTGATCATAAATGCATGGATTTGTTTCTGGGCTCTCTGTTATAATGTGTCCTGGTGAAGGTCTCTTTATATTTTTAATCTATTTGGGGTCTCATGGAGCTGGATATTCATTTGGGGAGTTTCAGATTTGAGAAGTTTCCTGTTATTATTTCTTTAAAGGAAATTTCTGCCTCTTTTCTCTTTTTCTATGACTTCTGGCACTCCCAAAAACCATGTATGGATGCACTTGATGGTCTGTCATAGGTCCCAGAGGCTCTCTTCATGTTTCTGTCCATTCCTTTTTTTTTTCTTTTTCTACCTCTGACTAGATGACTTCAAATGACTTGACTTTGAGCTCAATGATCCTTTTCTTCTGTCTGCTACTGAAGTGCTATATGAACTTCTTTATTTCAATCACTGTGCTCTTTAGCTCTATAATTCCTGTTTGTTTCTTTGTTATGATTTCCATGTCTTTGTTAAACTTCTCATTTTGTTCACATATCATTTTCTTAATATAATTTAGTTGTCTATCTTTATCTCTTTTAGCTCACTAAGCTTCTTTTCGATGATTATTTTGAATTGTCAGTTTTTAGTTCTCCATTATTTAGGGTCAGTTACTGGTACTTTATTCTGTTGCTATGGCAGTGTCATATTTCCCTGACTTTTTGTGATCCCTATTGCCTCACATTGGTGTTTCATCTGAAGAAGTAACTACTTCTTTTAATCTTTATAGACAGACTTAGGTGAGAAAAGCCCTTCATCATTCAGCCTATCCAGAAATTCCAGAAATTCTAGAGGGCCATAAAGTAGAATCCATAGGCAGGTTTACTGCTGGACTACTCAGCTAGCCTGGTCTGGTGGCCAGGTCAGTGGGTGATCAGGTCTAGAGTCTGGGTCTACAGGAGGCTGCCTGGTACCTGGATTCAGAGGGGCAAGCCTGGGACCATTGCCATAGGTCTGGAGTTTGTGTCCACATGAGTAGGCCAATGCCTGGGTTCATGGAAGTGGGCCTAGAATCTGTGTCTGTAGGTACAGGCCTGGATACTGGGTGCATAGGGGCCACCTGGTACAAGGGTCCATTGAAGCAGTCATGGTAACTAGGTTTATGAGGGTATGCCTAGAAACACAGTCCACGGTGGCAGGCCTGTAGCTGGGTCCAAAAGGGCCAATCTGGAGCTTAAATCTCTTGGGACAGACTGAAGGAAACATGGAGGTTAACCTGGCACTGGCATAATTTTCAATTCTGAATCCATGGATGCCAGCTTAGTCCTGGGGTGAGCCTGGCACCTGGACTCATGGGTATGGACCTGGTTCTGAGTCTATAGAGGCTAGCCTGGTGCCAGGGTCCCCTAGGGTAAGGCTAGTGGCCAAATCCATGGAAGCAGGCCAGATTCTGAGTCCACAAAAGATGGGCTTGGTACCTGGGAGCACAGGGGCAAGCCTCAAGGCTGGGTACACAGGGAAGGGTCTGAAGCTTGACTTTCCAGAGGTGAGCCTAGTATTGGGTCCACAGGAACCAGCCTAGTACTAGAGCATATTGGGCAGGTCCTGAACTTTTGGTCTTTTGGAGCCTAGGGCCACAGGAAGCCTGCCTGTACTGTGAGGCCATGGGGATCAGTCTGGAGTATGCCTGGTGCCTGGGTCAGTAGGAACCAATCAGGCATCAGGGTTCACTAGAGAAAACCTGAAGCTGGGTCAGCAGCAAAGTCAGGTGCTCACTTTACTTTTCTTCCCCTTTGTAGAAGGTATCTCTCACCATGCTTCACTACCCTGCACGGGCTTGGGGGCGGGATGATGCAGGTAATATAAAAGTATCCTTTCTTATTTCTGCACTTTTCCCAAGTGCTATAATCTCTCACTGAGATTACCTAGCTCTTGCAAAGGTATTTTTGTATATGAATGGTTGTTCAAACCACTGTTTCTGTGAGGGGACAAAAGCTGGAAGGCAGCTTTGCTCACCACTATACCACCAAGGCTGGACAAAAGCTGGAAATTTCCATTCTGTCATCTTGCTGACATTATTCCTAAACACTTCTACCTTAATACACATTATATATTTATTTTTCAGCTACTAAGTTAATAATAATATAATGTGAGTTGACTTCAAACCTCATGTCACCTTTTTACATTGTGGACTGTCAGGATAGAGAAAAATATGTCTCTCTATTTGAATGTTTAACACACAGAAATAAGATAGATATATCAAGTGTTTATTCTAAATATGTTATACAAATGGTCCTATAGAGCTTCTAAAGACAGTTATAGACCTAGAAATTTGCAAGGTGTATAAATACAATAAATTTCATAGTTAACACTCAACAAATATGTCCTAGCTACAATTAAAATATCCTATGAATATTCATTATGACAGATCTCATATCACTTAGTAGAATGCTGTACAGATAGT